CATGGTGCAGCAGACGAGAAAGTGGAGGAGAACGGAAAGGACAAGGAGGAGACCAAAGCGATGGACGTGGACGTTCCCGGAGAGGAGGTCGCTGCCGTGGAGAAAACCGTAGAAGCGACGACGGAAGGGTCGAGCGAGAAAGCGGAGGACGTGAAGGTGGAGTCGGGAGAGTCGAACGGCGGGAAGTCGGCGGAAGTTCCTGCAGAGGCGTCAATGAAAGACGGCGAGGAGTCCAAGGCGGCGGAAGAAGCAGCGCGCAATGGCGATGCGGAGAAGTCGTCGAACGGCGAGGGTGGTGAGAAGGTGAAAGATGCGGTGGTGGGCATGGCAGAGGGCTCCACTGAGGGGGTCGAAGAAGTGACGAAGGCTGAGAAGGTGGAAGTTGGTGCTGCTGCGCCAGAGGCAGTTGCTTAGGCGGCGGGCCGCAGCGGTGGAGGGCGGAGCCAAGACCGAGTTCACGTGAAATGGCGGAGGGGGATTGTTCCTGGGATGAGCGTTGAACGGATGGTAGAAGATGGCAGCCGCGAGGGTATCCCTCTAGAGGCGTGTGGGATGTGGTTGTGGTTTGGTCTGGACTTGGAGCTTGGGGCTGGGTAGTGGTAGGAGGATGGGGTGCTCCTTGGACGAAACCGCGATGTGTAGAGAAATGGAGTGTGACGAGGGGCGGGGAACCTGGAAGTACAGATGCAGGGACAGGATCCACCCGGTGGGAGGGTGGGGGAGGAGGAAAGGTAGAGAATGGGGTAGAAGGGATAACGCTTGGACGCGGGCACCACCTAGAGGGTTCTTTGGTTGTCCAGTTAGAGTAGGTAGAACGCGGGTGTGCATTGTGCAGCAGACTGTGATTTTGTTTACCTGTTTGGCCGTGAAGGTTGCAGTATTACTTTGAGTTCGGTGCACTTCGTGAACAGGGTGCGGAAGCCCTTGCAACAGCTGTACTCGCTGAGTGTGGTGTGCGATGTGGAGATGATGGGAGAACAGGGGATTTGCAAATTATTGTGGTGGTGGTGGGTGTGGATGAAACGATGATGTGTGGTGTGTGTTGTGTATGGTTTATTGTACGGGCATCGAACAACGTGACATGGTAGGCGTGAGAGCAGTTCAATGTGGTGGATTGGTTTTGGATGTGGATGATGGGTGTGTTTAGCTCTATCTGGTTTTTTGCTTGGGTTTCGAACATCTTGACATTGTGGGGGTATGAGCAGTCTGATATTGTTGAGTGGTCGTGTCAATGTTTGACTTTTGAGTTTGAGCAGTTGCAGCCCGGGCTAGGTGTAGTGTGTTTGGGCGTTTCGGTCGTTTTGGTCACGATATGCATGGATGCGAGTGTGTCTTTCCCGACCTTTACAGTGGTTGGTTGGGGTACTGTCGATGTTGTAAGTTTAAGTTATTTTAAGAATGACGGATCGGGTACTTTCTTTTGATGCGTTTGGAGATTACTTTTTGTCAAAGGAAATGTGTTTCGTTAACATGTTTGGTGAAGTGTAGGTGACATGGGTTACTCCCTTTTTTTTTTGTAGGGTACCAGCTGAGTACTTTATGTTCATCGTGATGGTTAGCGCATGGTGAGGTGCCCGAAGTTTGTCTTTTTATGAGTTATCTGTATTTGTGGAAGTGAAGGTTTTTTGGTTATACTTGGTTAGAGTGGTTCTTTTCTTCTTTGGTGTAGTTGTTGCCTCACTTGTAATTTGTGTGATTTTAATCTTTTGAAGCTCCGACGAACTGTTTGCGTATGCTGCGATGCGTAGGACTATGGCTGAAGTCCCGTCCTGTCGTTCGCATTGTCCGGTATTTCTGGTTTCATAATAGAATATTATCATGGACTTCCATTGCTTCGGCGTCGTTTCCCATTTCAGTTCATTTGCAAGTGGTGTTGGCAGTGGTTAGCTTACGGGGCCTGAATTGGGGTTTGTGTTGAATGGCGATCGGAGTTGTTCATTCGAAGGGAATCGTTGTGGAAGTTGATCACCTCAGTGTTTGTGTTGGTGAATGTTGGTTAGTAACTGTTCCATGTTGAGGATGTGAATTGCGATTTGAATCGTGTATCTGCTCGTGCGCAGGTTTGGTGTGTCGTGGGGCCGTCGAAGAATGAAATAGTGAAACGCTCCAGAGTTGGGCCTATCACAACGTCTACGTCTACGTCCCTATGCAGTTGACTTCTTCAGACCAAGAATCAATTTCATTATAATTTCAATGGCTCACAACCAGAGAGCTTTTGATCAAAACGAGGACGTATTAAGATTCAGTGAATGTGTGGTTACATTTTGCTTGGGAAGTGTCCGTCAGAACCTACCCAAACAAGCGAAGTTCTCTCTGGATGATCACATACACCTCTGGAGGTTTACGTACGTGGCTACGGGGGGGGGGGTGGGGGGGGGGCTAATTAAGCAAGGCTTTGAAGTGTCACAAAGTCGACACCATTTTATCTCGGCAATGAGGGGTTCATTTCCAACACTTTGGGGTGAGTGGTATCGATCGCTCTCTTATATTAAAAACATCACCGAACTTATCACCAACTTCTGCGTGACAGCGTTATCTTCGTTAATTACACTTTTACTTCCATGGGATCGTACACAGTTCCATATCAATATGTGGTGGTGCCGTACCAAACTTTGGACCCTTCACTGAGTCGGTTGAATTTCCAGAGTTGGAAACACGTACACACCCAAAGAGTCTTCCAACCTCTTACAGTCGCTTCTGTCGCCTGCCGAAGACTCACCACATGCAGCAGAACTATGGCTTTAAATCCTTAAAAATGTCACAATAGACCCAAATGGAACAAGGTAAAAGTAGTAAAGAGGTGACTGGATGGCGTGTTGTGCAGCAAGGTGCCCTCGAATCCAAGTGACCTCAGAAAGCGGAAGAGCGGTAATAAGAACGAGGCATGGTTATTCCAACAATGTTCATCCATAAATCTCCGACAGACACTCATACGGGATTTCATTCGTCCCCTTACTTCGCGCCTCATTGGCTGGTCGTGAATCATGCACCATCCAAACCTTGTGCTCGGTGACTGAGGGCATGGGCATAGGCCTGAGGCCCACTTGACTGGTCTGAAGCGCGTATCCTGCGAAGCCAGTCCTGTTGGCGTTCACACGGGTATGATCTCATGATCGTGGGGAGTTACTGGGTCTGGCAAACCCGACACTGCTCTCATTGCATTTGCTCACACATACAGACATTTGTGGGTGAATGTCTGAGCAAGGACATGAAATAACTGTGTTTAAAAGTTTCTGTGAAACGAATATATTCTGATAGTTTCTTTTTTCTTTCTTACCCTATATTTAGGGGAATGTTAAGTAGACCCAAGTGTTATACTAAATTAACCCACACATTCTAACTATCATGAAAAAAAAATAATGATTTTTAGATTCATTTCCCCAGTGAATCTACAACCAATAAAAACCAACCACATTTGTCATGATTATCATATTCTTCATCAAGAGTGGGTTTATTTAATAAAAGCATGGATCTATTTAACATTCCCCTCTATTCATTTATATGTTTTTGAAGTGTATTAATGAAAAAGCTGAAAATATTATGCTATTTTTGAAAAGTTGAGTATGATTTTCATTTGAAGAAGTTTATATATTATATGCATTTAAAAATCACATTAATTTTTGTTAAAGTTATCTTAATGATTCTTCAAGCTTACTTCAAAGGTAGTATTGGGTAATAATGAAAGGGATAATGATATTTTGAAAAAAACTATGAAGAAGTCCACATGCATCTTTAAACCTGCATTGGTTTCAGATGAGCTCATTGTATTTTTGATCTTTTAAATTTCTTGAATCCATATGTCTTCAAATAAAATATTACAGCATATTATTGAAAAAAAGGTCAAATAAGAAGAATATTGAAAATTCAAAACAAAATTTAAAACTATCTCTCTCTGTGAATTCATTTATATATATATATATATATATATATATATATATAAATATATTCTTGACCATTCACTCAAAACTATTATTGCCAATCTTTTGCAACTAAAAATATAACTATAAATTTTGTCTATTCATGTGGGACAACCTCCAATGAGGTTAATCTTATTTTTATCTAAGCTTGTTTATTCATAAATTAGTGTAGTTTTAAGCTTTTATTGAGTTCTTTCTTTTGGGTCTATATAACCTTTAATCAATGCCTCTCACAAGGTCCATTGATATTGGTACTATACAAAAGGATATTTCTAAAAATAGATATTGATTTTCTTATTCTCCAGACTTCAAAAACTTGAAAGAAATATTAACAATGTTTACTAGTTATACAAAAAACAACAAAAGTTCAAATTATTGTGGTGCAAAACTTCTTTTCATATTTTTCCTTTTTATTGTATTTATGAATTCTAAAAGATTGTTTTTCTAATCCTTTTTCAAACAAAACATGGTCTTAAAACAGTGCTCTGTGGTCTTTTCTTTTAACATTATCGTACTTCAAAAATGATACCACCAAACTATTTTTTCCACACATGTACTGCAAGGATGACCAATATATTCTGAAACATCATTTTAAGCAAAATTTGATTTTATAATACATTTTAAATATAATTCTTAATATACTGCAGCTGGCAGCATTCTGCAGCCCTGGCTTTTTATAGAATTCGTGTTGGGTTAAAGGTTTGCAGGTCACAGCAAGGGAGACCTACCAAAGTTGTCTAGATTTGAATGTATTGGGTTGTTGTAGCTTTCCAAAGACACAATATGTTCTTTGCATGCATGGGCCTGTAGGTGCAAAATGTACAACATTTTTACATGCAATATTTAATTTTTCAAAAATTGTGTGCCCAGATATAAATATATATATATATATATATATATGTACAAACACACAGTCAAACTGTAATTAC